TTTTAACTTTTTGCCATTCTGCGTTTTTTTTTATCTTTTCGTTTCGTTTTATTTATTTTGCTTTTTCATTTAATTTTGAGAAGAAATTCTTTTTGTTGCTGTAAATATATTATTTCTTTATTTCTTTCTTTATTTATTTATTCATAATTACTCAGTTATTTTTTTTTTATCTCACCCGTTTAGTTTAAATTTGTGCTTAATTAATTAGGGAGACCGTCACTCACAAAGAATGATACGACCGGCGGCAAATATATGGAGACATTCTCAGGCCTTTTACCTCTTCCTTCCGTTGCTGCCAGCCACAGCTCTGACGAACCACACCATTTCCTCTCCCTCCCACCCAATATATATATATATATATATATATATATATATATATATATATATATATATATATATATATATATATATATATATATATAATATATAGTTTCAGTTTTAAAAAAGTAAATGGATATTTTAACTGCATCTTGATTTTTAGCATGTTTCTTTCTTTTTAATTCGCTAGATTTTTCATAATATTTTTAGTTTTTGTTTTATGAGAAGTGCATCTGGACGAATTTGACTTAAGAACGGATGCTGTTTCTTGGGATCAAAAGTTTATGTACACGTCTGTAAGGTTATCTGCGATTTCATCATTGACGACTGTGTATGTATTCATAGTCGATAAAATAATTTAAAAAAAAGCAATTAAAAAATTTGGAGTGTCTTCACACACACGCGCACAGGCACACACATGACAAGTAAAAATTAAGTCCATTAATTCCATGGGAATTGATTTGTTTCCGTTTCGGATAAGAAACTGACTAGATACGGGCTTTCGAGAAATATCTGAACGTGGAATTGTGCTTTCTTTAAAAAGGAAATTAGAACCTTATTTGACTGCTCGCTCTCTGTGGCCGAGCTATTTAAGGTACGGAGGATCAAACTGTGGTTTTCCTCCAACGAAAGATACAGGTTCGATCCCTACCGGAGAGTATATTTTCTTTATTAAAGATATAATACACACCGTTTAAAATAAAAATGAATCTTTTCATGGTTGAAATTGGCAAAGACTTTTGTTAAATCTGAAAGAAAAAGAAAAAATCGTTAGACGCTTAAACTTAATTCACATTTAAAATTGGTCCAAGTTATTGCAACATCCTAAGTTCTCAACCTAGTTATAATATCAATATTACTCAATCAGTTATGTGCCATGAGTGATACACGCTTAGTTAATCATGTATCTTTCGATACATGATTGACGAGGCAGATTTTTCCCGCAGTAAGTTGCCATTTCTTTCTGCGGTAGATGGTAGACCAGTTGCCATCCAAGGTTAGAGAATCTGGTCTATCCTGCTATTTACCCATAGCTGGGGGGAAGAGGATTCATACCTTTCCCAAGGAGTACTAGGACGTAAGTGAATGTAATGGATTCGACTGGCATTCGAACACGGCTCTCCGATTCCTCAATCCGTACCTCCTCCTCCATTCCTCAATATCTTTGTTATTTTCTATTTTTCAGTATTTGTTTGATCCTTTCCATTATCTATGTTTCAACATATATTATGGAAAAAAGAAAAACAGTTCTTATTAGATTTCAGAGACCTTAAACTAATATTATTCTAATCTGCCTAATAACTTCAGACGGCAGTTGTTATAATAAATCCAATAACTTTAATAAAACATGTTGATACTACCTCAAAATTAAATTCAAGCTTTGTTTGGACGTGTAAATTAACCGTTTAAAATTTGACAAATGTTGTTTAAAGTAAATTGAGGTTTATGTGATTTGGATAGCTTCAGACAGACTGTATATATATATATATATATATATATATATATATATATATATATATCCAGGAGCAATAAAACTGTCAAACTGACCACGGGAATTCAGAGAAGCATAGATCCATCCAGCTCTTATCTTAAATAACAACTTAAAAGAGACTGTTTGACCAACACAAGAAATGTTAAAAGATTCATGTTAAAAAGATAAAAAATTAAAAAGACAAATGAAAACTACAGACAAAAGTTAATTTTCTCCATCAAGACATTCATTTCTATAGTTTACCGCTACCAGCAAGCAGAAATATTTCTTCTCCCGATGATGGTCATTTTGACCGAAACTAGTCGAGGAATCTAATGAAATAATAATAAAAAAAAAACGAAAGAATATTAATCTACAACCCAGTGTGTCTGAAGATTTTAATTTTTAATATTTTTTTATTGTCCAATATATATATATATATATATATATATATATATATATATATATATATTTCTTTGAATAAAAGACAGACCACGTTAAGATTCCATGTAATAAGCTATTTCACCATAACCCCTTTAACAGGGTTCTGGATCATCAGACTTTACTTCCAAAAGCTGAAATGAAAATGAAAAAGAGATTCACACGTTTTTGACGGACCTCATCAAGTATACGTAAAATTAACGAAGTGAGGAAGTGAGGTGGGAGAGGATATGAGTGTGTCATATGTATCATTTTAGTTTCCTATTTTAACCCCAGTGTGTCGGCTGGATGTTGCTCAAATCTAACACGTTTGTCAAATTTTAAACGGCTAATTCAGACGTTAAAACAAAGCTTGAATTAAATTATATATATGCATGCGCGTGTATCCCCGCGTATGTGCATGCGTGTGTGAATATTTCGTTTTTTAATATTAATTAATATTAATATTAGTATTAATTAATCTGTATTAAGCTTCGCTTGAGAATACCTTTCCACGGCATTAAAAAGTTAAATCGGAGGACACCCTGCACCGGCAGGTTTACCAGTTTGCTCTCCCACTCCCTCTCTTACTCTCTCTCACTCCCTCTCTTTCTCTTTCTCTCTCACTCTATTTGCTAAAGGTTAAGAATTATATTGTGCCACATATAGCAAGCCACATATATGTATACTAAATTCCAAAGTTCTAATTTTAAAAGTGGATATATTGAAGATCATTGCCATAAGTACACACAGAATGTACTGTTGCATATGCCTATCTAGACAGCAGCTATATTAGTTTTCTTCCTGTCTTTCTCTGTGTTTTGGACAATTTCTATCCCTTTGTCTTTCCTGTCATTAAGCCATCAAACCACTATACGAGATGGTATCGAAAAGTTCCCGCTCTATACGTACATTGATTTCCCGTTCAACGGAGATGCGTGTACAGCATTATTGGGCCCGTCGGCCAATAAGCTTTGTGTTATTTCCACAGGTTCAATAGGCTTCGTGCTATCTACACGTGTTTAATTATTAGGGTGTTCGGGAAAAAAAAAAGTTTTACCAGAAAGGATATATAAAACGTAAGTGAAATGTATTTAAGTATTATTTATCAAAAATATAATCAAGTTCATGTTCAACGACTGCAGCTCAGTAGAAAGGCACATCTTTGATTCCACATTAAAAAAAAATCTCATCACCCACTTCAATGGTTTGAAATACTCAATTTCTATTTTGATTTTATGAATGCTCTGCTTATTATGAAATGGACTAGGGATCTAAAAAAGCGGGAATTTATCGATCCTAAGTTCGGTGAATATGGAGGATGTATAATAATCAGTTTTTGTTTCGTTTTTGTGTCGTTGGCATTCAGTATGATGAAGAAATGAAAGTTTGGCATTGCTGGCTAAAAACAAAGGCTGCGGATAGTTGAATGTTTTGATGGTGGAAGGCTGTCTTAATCCAAAGGTTTAAAGAAAAAGTTAATGTTATATTATTTAAACAAGGTTCCTTATTTTACTGCAGAAATAACAGAATAACAACTACCACAATCAACAAAAAAATCAAATTCCCTATTACAGTGTAACCCGGATATAAGAGACCCGGATATAAGAGAAATCCGGATATAAGAGAGATTTTCTCTGGTCCCAAATGAGAGCCTGTGTTAATGTATATAAAATAGACCAAACCCGGATATAAGAGACTTCTTCTCCGGTCCCGACAACTCTCTTATATCCGGGTTACACTGTACGATGAAGTTGACGGTCCGGACAAAAATCCTTCGTGGGCCGGGGGAATGCCGACCTCTGCTGTTTACTATTCCTGTATATTTCTGTATAGTAGGCTCTCGTTTTTACACACATACTTAGGGAAGTTAAATTTATGTATGACCTATTATTTGATTATTGATATGTAAAATATGAGTGCTGTTGTTTACCATACATAGCGTTTCGTTGGCTCCCCTCGACGTAGTTTTATGGTTAGCGAGTATGTATCGCTAGAAACATTACAACTGAATAGTGAGTTCAATCCTCACTGGGTGCCCTATGCTTTCGGCCTTGTGCCATATCTAAGCTATGCTTAGAAAATCATTTAGACACCTCGAGGTGGTGAAATGGTTAGCAAGCTTGTCTCGCTAGATCAATTACGACTGAGTAGTGAGTTCGATCCTCACTGGGTGACCCCTTCTTTCGACTTTGTGCTACATCTAAGCAATTCTTGGAAAATAACTATATACCGTTTCGTTTTTTCATTTATTCTTGGTATTTCTGAAAACTAAAGTTTTTTGCTGCAAATTCTCTTAGTAGACTGAAGATTAACGGAATATTTCTTGCCATTCTATTAACTTTTGGTCTGCCACAGTGTTTATGACGATGGGACATCTGTCTTCATCATCATCATGAGTCCCATTACCGAGTGTGGTCGTAGGGTCCCTACACATCTGAACACCTGACCATCTCTCTCTCTTTATATGTCTTAATTTGTAGCTGTTCAATGCCTAAGTCTCTGCAAATGATCTTCCAGTTCACCCAGTGAGGTTGTCAGCCCATTTTTCTCTGTCTTGTCTCTTCTTATTCCATCTTTGGTTCTTATTGACGTGTCCATATCATTTCAATTTTTTTTTTATCTGTTGATGGCGGTTATGAGATCTTTCAATGAGCAAGTTTCTTCTTTGATAGAGTCTCGGACTGCGTCGTGTGTGATGCAGTCTACGTGGGAATAGCGTATCTGTGTAACTAACATGTACAAAACAGCTAACAAATGAAATGAATTATAGAAACAAAATGTAGTAGCATCACAAAGTGACAAAAAAGGAAAAAGAAAGGAGAAAAAGCAAAAACAACAATGAATAAAAAATAAAACAGCAAAGAAAGAAAGAAAGAAGGAAAAAGAAGCAACAAATTCTAGTTACAAAAGAAAGAAAAATCTCCCGTGAATAAATGAGAGAAAAAGACAGAAAAAGAAACGTATAACAAAGAAGGAAACGAGCAGCAAATTCAAAAAATAAGAAATGGAAAATGGAAACGAAATAGCGGAAATAAATAAATGAAGTAAAACAAATACAGTACAGGACACAAAAGAAAGAAAGAAAGAAAGAAAGAAAGAAAGAAAGAAAGAAAGAATAAATATGTGTGAAAAGCAGGAGAAAATAGGCAAAAAGAAACGCACAGCAAAGAAGGAAAAGAGCAGCAAATACAAAAAAGGGAAACAAGGTAGGATGAAAAAAAAGGAAATAAAGAAGTGAAGTACAAATAAATAAAGGGCAAGAAAAAAAGAAAAACAGAAAGACTCAGAAACGAAAGAAAGAAACGCTTAGAATCAACAGAAAGATAGAAAGGAAGAATCAGAAACGAAAGAAAGAAAGAAAGAAAGAAAGAATGGAAAACTTAGAATCGAAAGAAAGAAAGAAGAAAGGAAACTCAGAAATGAAAAAAAAAGAAAGAAAGGAAGGAAAACTCATAAACGAAAAAAAGAAAGAAAGACTTAGAAAAGAAATAGATGAATAAAGAAATAAAATTTAAAAACAATCATAAAGTACAAAAAAGAAAGAAAATAAAGCAAGTAATATAAATAAAGTCCAAGAAATAAGTTCAACGAAACAAAAACAGATGTAAAATAAAACAGACAAAAAAAAAACAAAAAATTAAGATTCAAATCATACAAAAACTTAAAAAACCATAACAAAGAAAGAACGACGAGAGAAATATTAAGAAAAGAAAAAAATCTTGCTATTTTCAGTCTTTTAACTCGTGTCCTCTGATTCCATGTGATGTACTCGAGGCCAGAAAGTCGTCAAGGTTGGTTTGCAGCCAATTAAGATGTGATTAATTACTTTAGATATGTTTTTTCTTTCAAACTATGTCCATCATTAAGAATTATAGATTATACTTTGGTATTTAGCTTTGCAGAAATATTATCCAAGCATGGCTGATGAATTTAATTAGTGTCATATTCTGTCGCCCCTGTCTCTCTAGTCACGTTCAGACTGGAGTACCACTCCATTATATACCCCATCCCGAAAATCTCACTGAAATACATGGTGACTATAAAGGTTCAAATATTTTCTAATGGGCCAAGAGCTGAAATCCAGAGAGACTTGAACGTCTATCCAACGCATATCGCGTATCACCGTTCTAGTTTATTCGATGTAAACGGTTTTGTCTTATCTCTCTCTCCTTCTCTCCCCCTCTCTCTCTCTCTCTCACACACACACACACAGACTCTTATGATATAATGGCGCATATCAATATATACGGAATTTAGTTTAGCTTGGTATAAGTCTACACGTGTGGAAATTTCTACGAGTTTCGAACCCACTATAGCAGCAGTAATAATTTTGCAGTCCATCCCTCTAGGCTGGTAGATCTGTTTTTCTGACTGTAACTTGTTTAACGTGATGACTGAAATAAAAATAAATAGTGGGAATGGTTTTAGTGATGTAAAAATAAATAGCAATATAAAAATAAATAATAATAACAAAGACACCAAAATTTCACCATCTTTAAAAACAGATGTACATACAAAATCGACAGACCACAAATCCATATTTCGACCAACCAATCAGAAAGCTTTCACAGCCAGGATATAAGGTCACGGGCAGAGCGGCACTTTCGAAACGGATCTTTGTGCATATAACGAAATGAAAATATCAACTTAAATCAGAATCGATCAATCAATTTTATCCATTCTCCGATGCTGCGTTCATCGTGATATAACCAGGACTGAAATACGACACTTACGCAACCAGCTAGCAAACTGACAAGTATATGCAGTCCTACTACATTTGAAGATATACACACTTTTTTCACCACATTTATAAGCAGCCCACTGCTACATTTCAAAACATACATACTTTCATTCACTCTCATTGTTAACTAGGGGACTACTACATTTGTATAGATATACATATATAATTACATTCTTCTCATTTTTCCCCGTATGCGTCCATGAATCCTCCATACGATGATTTTACTGGTGTGTATAGGTGTGGAAATTATATGAACAGACTTCATTGAGGTTCGAGCCTTTTTTCGATATTGTTTTCTTAGTCAAGAATCATTATGCTCTTTGGAGTGAGTGAAAGTTTAAGAAAACGATATAAAAAAATGCGGGAGAAGTGCGAAATAGACGAGAGAAATATTACTGAAGAAAGTATAGCGACATTGGATTACAAATTTCTGGCTGCATTGACCAGTTTGTTGAACAGAGAGGGATTATCTTGTGTTCGATGAAAATATATAATCATTTGATAGTTTCTAGGGAATATATTACTGCTGTCGCGTGAAGATTTTTTTATTTTTTTTCAAACAGGATACAATGAAGAGATAGTATTGTGTTGCATGCAACACGTGATTCATTGGGGATTAAGTGCTTACTCGAAAGGGAAAAGAGATACGTCCTATTACTATGTGATTCTGTAATTGAAAAACACGCGAAAAATTTGGGATTGTTTGTGGCTTTTCCTTTTATATTGCTTTATACAACACCACCTAGCGGCCGTTAGAAAAAGTTGCGTGGAAAACAATGTGCTACATGCTCACAAAAATAAAAAAAAAAGAAAAAATGTCAGTTGAATTTATTAAACCTCTTTAAATATATATATATTTATATATATATATATATATATATATATATATATATATATATATATATATATATATATATCAACCCACAATCTACAAGAACCCTTAAGAAAATACTGGCCGAAAACACTAGAGTTTTTTGTCAATCAAATTACTGGAAACGTTTAATTATAAGAGAAGCTCTGTATATCAAATATCTCCCCCACTTTCAACCTCACCTTGTTTTACAATGGGAGCGGCGTACTGAAAGTCTTTTAAAAATAGAAAGTCGCCCATTCGAATTCTAGCCATGCCCAACACACGATGGCTCGGAATTAACGCTCCTACTAGAATTCAAAAGCACACAGATAATACATGTCACACAGTCAAAAGATGAAAAGAAACTTACAAGTTAAAAATAAAAACTTAAAAATGTCTAATGAAATTTCCGAAGGCACTTAGGACAATGGACGATATGGACAGTTTTTGCACTCCCTCACTCCCGCCAAACGAAAAAAAAATGTAAGGACGCTGGAAAAATTAAATAATAAATTAATGAAATTTTCCGGGTCCGTCATCTTTGACGAAAGATGTATAAAAGAAAGGTTGCTACCCAAATATACACTACAGTTCAAAAGCTTGAGAAAACACCTGGTAATTATATTAAAATTAGCCCCAAAATTAGTTTTGTACTTTAAATATGAGAAAAATTATTATACATGGTTAAAAAAATGTAAGACATGATTTTTTATTAGACATTTAATTATGACAATAATAGCAAAGGCATTTTATGATTAAATTTTGCTCTCGTCAAAATATACTTCTTTAAACTTGATTACTGCAGTACAGATTCTTTGCATTTGTTGTAAAGGTTTCTCAAAGGTTGATAACTGATTCCATTCTTTTTTCAATGACTCTAAGAGTTCTTTTTCATTTTCGTTTTTTTCACTCTTCTATCAAATTCATTCCATGCCAATTCTAGTGGTGATTTCAAACATTTGAAATGTAGTGTACATTAATAATATATATATATATATATATATATATATGAATCATTAGTATTATATATAAATACGTGCATTTATACATATGTGTATACATATATAAGTATATATACTTATAATTGTGTGTGAATAGAAAAAAAGAAAGAAAGAAAAAAAGAAAGAGACTTAAGTAGTAAAAAGTGAACGGAAGTATGGAATCAACTTTGAATAAATGAAAGTAAAAACGTGAAAGATTATGCTTCAAGTCACAATGTTAGAGCTGAGCGGATTGAAGTTCAACAAAAGGAAACAGGAAACCTATAGGGAACGGCACCTCGAAAACGGAACGACAAATTTTGACAGAATATCTGAAAAAGAAAATAACGAACGTAATCCAACAACGACCCAAAGCCAAAATATTCTAAATTCAAATTTTCTTGTTCATATATGTATATATATATATATATATATATATATATATATATATATATAGAGAGAGAGAGAGAGAGAGAGAGAGAGATGTCTATTACGTGTGTATGTTTTAAACCCGAATTTACTATTTTGTATTGAGTTTCACAGTTTTTAACTAGTAGTTCGTTTTTATTTTTAATTAATACATTGTTTACTGATAAGTCAAATATTTATTTCATTCATTTCATCACGATACATACGTTAAATGTACAGAGACACTGCCGACAGTTAAGTTTGAACATAGATCGCCAGTGAGCAAACACAATCGATCCAATTAGTGAATTAAGTGGATCATGTGACCATAAATAAACGCATATATACAAAACTGCGTGTGGTATAGATTGATGGTCATTTCTACTCTATCCTCTGTTACTATACGAACCGCTATTCTCTAGTCTATTCACTACAATATTCCTCAATTCGTACCACTCACTATACGGATTACTGTTCGAGCGAGTATTATCGAGGAAGTACTATTAGTGTGTGTGTTATTCGAAGGCGTCTGACACCAGTATTGTTCAACGGCGTTACTATAGTTGTATCTGCGATTACAAAGTCTCTACTACAACGTGCATTACGAAAGTGACAACTAGTATTCGTTGACACCACACACACACACATATATATATATATATATATAGGTTAAATGTTTGATAGAGTGTGTGTATATATATATATATATATATATATATATATATATATATGTGTGTGTGTGTGTGTGTGTGTGTGTTATAAATATATTTTTTTTAAGTAATGCTATAATTATAGGTAAAAGTATAATATCGGTGATATATATATATATATATATATATATATATATATATATATATATATAATTATTTATTCGAAAATTATAACATAAATATGGTATAAAATCACTACAAAAATAGTCATTTTGTTTCAACACTTCTAGTCTCTTAGACACAGAATTGTTGAAACAAAATTGCTTTTTTTGTATTGATTTTATAACATATTCATGTTATAATTTTCGAATAAATAATTTTATTTGCTCTACTCTGTACTGAGCACTCTTTTTAAGAATAGTATTTGTTTCTTATTAGAATTTATTGCGTATACGTCAATCCTATACTTTATACTATATATATATATATATATATATATATATATATATATATATATATATATATATATATGAGATAAAGATATTTATTTTAATATTAAGAACAGTATTGGGAAAATTGCATGACAAAGTGGAAAAACTTGTAACGCGTGTCGTCCTTCAGGACTTCATCGGACTAAATTTTTTTTATATTGAGAGACTGACTACACATGCGCACGATAGAGGTGTGCTGGGAATTTTAGATTTTTTTTATCTTATCAAATTCATTTAGAATCTTTTTTCCTTTTCTTTCCATTACATTTGTAAATAGATATTCCACACTGTGATATTAGAAGATCTGCCAGGAATTGTGAAATGAGAACAAATTTACTGTAAATGACTTTGCGATTATGGCACTCTCTAGATATTTACGTCGTAGTGAATTAATTTGGTTTTTGTAACATTTTTTATGTCAAAATTTTAGTCAGTCTCATTACGGTGGGCAACCAACGCATTCAGTATATTACTTTGTAAAATATCCCTTTTGTATTCATATAGTTTTTTTTTTATTTAGATTCCTTCGGGTTCTCCTATGTATTTTTGTGACAATTAAGTGATGGTGTAAACTCCTTCAGGTTTTAGATTATTGTTTTATTTAGTATTGACTAAATCTTTTATTGCTTTGAATGTAGTAGTAACATTTATTATCTTGAGTTGAGACAGTTTCTTTTCGATTGTAGATGTGATAAAATTAGTAGGCAGGATTTTTCTTTTATTCATTGGGATTTCAAGAGGAGCCGTTTTTTTGTTTTGGAACATTTTATGAGCTTTTTGTTTCGCATTGAATATAAAATAATTAAAGCATTGAAGAATTTTGAAAGTGTTTTCAATATATTTCTCCTCTTCGTGTAAATAATCTGAGCTGCATATTCTTAGTGCTCTTATGTAGAATTCTATGATTATGCTAGATTTTATTTTGTTGTTATGATAAGAAAGTTATTAGATCGTTTTTCTTAGTTGATTTCCGGTGGACACTGAGTTT